GAAAGACCCTCATTCCTCTCCGGGCCAAACAAACAGACAGTACGTCCATCACACGGAGGTTTCTCCCTGAAGTCTCTGCAGCTTTCTGGACACCACGCTGTCTCAATCCGTCCACACTGAATATGAGAGGGGGAAAATGAAAATAATAAATGCTTTAGACAATAAGAAACATAAAGTTGACTGTTGAGTTGCTCAGTTTTTTTAGATTGTCAATACTATTACTGTATAACTAATATATCAGGTTAAGAGGCACATTCAAATAAAGATTGATCTTTAAATACATGTTGTCTTTTGAATTGTTTGTCTAAAGTCAAGGATCTAGAACTGGTACTTAGTTTTAATGATACAGTCTGGTTATTATGCTGTTTGGAGGAGGCCTCACAGGTAAGAACTACCTACCATGAAATGTACCTTAGCTTGACTTAAATGTATTAAACGTATAGTTAAGGGATATCAAAATATAAATAACTAATGTCATGCAAACATATTAATATTTGCTTGATTCCAGTGTTGAATTTAGCACAATTGCATACAAACGTTAAGGGATTTTAAGATTCTGAAGTATTATGCTAAAAACTCATTAACTTAGATTATTATTCTATAGTTTTGCTGAATAGTTTCATGTCCGCTTACCTTAGAAACGTAAAATGCCACGGCAGTGTGCCGATGGCGAGCATGTTAGCTTAGCTTGGTAGCTTCAGCTAGCTCTAGAACTTTCAGCTCGGTGGCAGCAGGTCCCGCCTTAGCTTGGTATCTTTGTCCTTATTTGGAGCAGGCGGGAGTTGAACTCTGACGTCACTGTCGAGCCGTTAGTGGCCGACTCCGCCTACTAAGGGCTTCTCGGCAACTCATCAGAATCCTATGGGTGACGTCACGGACCCTACGTCCATTTATATATGATTCTGCTACGTTGTGCATTCACTTCCGGTAAAAGTTCCTTCAAAATATGAGTCCCGATCTTATTACTACCAAAATAAAAGTGCAAAACAAAACTTTACCATAGGAAAATATTGGCATACAAATATAATCACTTCTATAACACATTTTAAATATAGTTAAACATATTAAAGGTAATTTACAGCATTAATAATTCATATCTAATTCTTAACTGTGAATGGTTTTCATTAGTCTGGCCAATCCAAGACTTCAATGCTGAAGGGCCAATGGATCTATGGTGGGGGTCAGCACAAAGGTCAAGAAAACCCAAATTTGAAAGGGAGACAACGGATGACCAAGAAACTACTGATCTGTGAAGAACATGACAACAGCTGCACTACTGGTATTTAGTATACCAGTAATTGAGGGTGGACAAGTTTACTAGCAATTTAGTTTCAACTAATTGTTTTAATTACTTATTGTAAAGCATTTCAAAATTCTTTTGTGTCACATTTTCATTATTAAGTTGATGTATAACTGTATAGTATCTTAATTATTTAAAATATAAGGTGACTAAAAATGGCAACCATATTTTCAGTTTTGGCAACCAAAAGCTGATGCCTGCCTGGCAACCACTTTTAAAAGTTAGCGTTGAGCCCTGCATTTTAATATCGGGTTGACGGGTCGTCAAGAGACTACTTCATGACAAACTTTCTATGATTCTGGGAACTACAGAAAATCTCTGACTGAAGTCATAGTGTTATGAAGATATGAAGGTAAAGCTGGGTGAAGTGGATGTACTATAAAATATTTCACAGCTTTTCATACCAAAAAACCAAAGCAGTGTAGTGGTTTGTGATTTTAAGAATATAAGGGTGTCTAAAGGTTTTTATTTTTTTAAAGAATCATAGAATTTCTTTGTCATCTCTGCCAATAACTTTTTGGGATCGTGTTTGCTATTTGTCTTCTGTTTGAAGGATTATGGTAAGATTAGCAGATTTGCATGAAACTAAGTAGAAGGTTAGAGCATTATCCTAGAAAAAAAAAATGGGGGGAACATGCAATATATTTACACAAATTAAAATGGCCCTTCTAGTTCATAATAATAATTCTCAAGTCCAAACTTTTTTCAAGGCTTACAAACACAGGGTTTTCATTATTTGATTGGAAAAAAGTAAGCATTGTACTTGATTTTGGATAACCCCTAAAAATGGACTTCCTGGATCATATTTCATCATCTCAATGATACCTGAAGCAACACGCCCTACGCAGCCCTCTGCATTGTTTTTAAAAAGAGGGCCGCCTTCGGTTTGAATGCCCCCCAACTGCTCTCTTTTCTTTGTCATAGTAGCTTTGGTTGTTGACACCATATGGCAAGTGTACACTCGGAGAGAAGCCTAACTAAGAGTGATACAAAAATCCTGTTTGTTTGTTGAAAAGAGTGTTTCACTATGACTATACCTGCCTCTCCTGGATGCAGGCCAGTGAGAGGAGTTTGTGGTCCGGATCAGAGAAAGAGATCAGTAGACAGGTACAGGAGAAACCTGCTGGCAGACAGGTACAGTAGGTCAGTCTGTTCATCAGACAAGAGTAACGGCAGCTTCTGTTGCACTGGAGCCAAAACGGTGCCACTGAGAAGGGCTGTTGTTGTTGTGTTTCTCGCTCCAACGTACAGGGCGGGGCCTCTGTTGTGACAGCTCAGCTCCAAACGGCGGAGTCTGCACACTCACACACAGTTTCACCTAGCTGCCACAATGACAGGAAAGGTCAATAGTGCAGAAACTGTGAATGTGACCCATTTTCGGCGCAATAAATGTTGATTCCTTTATTGGCCTAGCCCAGCAGAGCCCTGCCTTTATTCATTTTTATATATACAGTCACTGGTGATTCAGTAAGAGCTGAGTCAGAGTCAGTCCAGAGTCTGTAAGGGAAGTGGAGTCTCTGTTGGATTTACTGTAAGGCAAATGTCCTGGGGCGATTAGTGCATCATTTTATTGTAGTTTCTGATTCAATCTATTTCTTACCTCAGCTTTTTGTTACTTACAGCTTTACCATCCGAACAAGGAGGCAAAATGTGTCTCAGAAATAGTTTTTTGTCGTTTTTTGTTTGATAGGAGCTATATCTGTCCTGCTCACACAGCAGTGTTGTCGGCTGCTGGATCTTGTTGAAAGGCTGCCACAGTCATGTTTGGGTTTATTAGACAGCTTGCTTTCATTGTTCCTTGCCTTATTAAAAGAAGATTGTGGCAACAATTAATGCTTGTCTTTTTATTATTACTGCGTTTTGGGATCAAATAAACAAATATCTCTGATTGACTTTGTTTGAGCTTGGTTATTATTTGAGGTCATGATAAATCCTCAGTATGTACTTAAAGGACTTCAGAGACAAGGGGAAGGTATGGTTGTGCTATAATTTTCTGATTTAATCTTTTTATATATTTTTATTTGTACCATGAAAATTCCTGCAAGAAAAAACGCCAAATAAAAAAAAGACAATTTGAAATAAGATTTGAAATAATGTAAACACGCTGCTGTAGTTATGGACCTACAGTCAAATACTGTAGGGTTTAGGCACTTTTGAAATGCAATAAAATCTATGGCAAAACAATATAAAAACTAAATATTAAAGCTCAAGCTCACCCTGCTGAGACTTAGAGAGGATATTCCTTCCTCCCCACTACATTTTAAGCAGCTTATTAACTCTAATCAAAGATTAAAAGCTCTCAATCCTGCATGTGGTGTGTGATATCCAGTAAATGTAGCAGTTTTAAGTATTTTTAGACGTCTTGTAAAGTTAATTGACCATACCTCAGTAACTTAAAAAATTTGAAACTAAATTAAGAGGAACCCATTTGCCTGCTTTGCTCCCCCACACACAGTGACTGCCATCCTGAGTCAATATTGACTGTTCTCAGGTCGTTGTAGACCTGCCAGCAGCAGTTGTCCAGCTAGATCCCGGCCTAATTGCTAAATAGTAGCAGTTTGTGGTGATGTAAATACAAAATGGAGCTGACTGTCTCTTGTCATTAGTGTGTGGAGGTAAAATCACTGAGATCACTCATCTAATTAATGCCAGGGAAGTGCCCTCATCAGTATCTGGGTGAAGTATCTCCAGCGTGGAGAGTCAGTCTGGTTTAGTGTTAAAGCGGGCAGCATTTGTTTCTGGGCTGTGTTGGCTGGGTGGTTTGTGAGCAGATGGTGAGATTGTTTCTTTTTCCTCGTCCCGCTGAGAGGCGGCGAGGATCAGGAGGAGCCCCGTCCGGGGCTTGTCCACACTCATTAGGCAGCCCAGCCAAAAAGAGACACTCTCGTCCTTCACTCGTGTGTGTGTGTGTGTGTGTGTGTGTGTGTGTGTGTGTGTGTGTGTGTGTGTGTGTGTGTGTGTGTGTGTGTGTGTGTGTGTGCAGTTGCGTGCCTGTGCTCTCATTTGGCCTTGTTTAATCATCGAGCCCTCCGCCCCCTCTCGTTGGGAGCATCAATAAGACAGTATGCACGACATGTTTCTGTATGTTTTCTCTCCACATGTAGCAGTAACGTTTAATTGCTAATGGCTAATGAGTATGCCTTATTCCCACTATTTAAATGTAGAGAAGTCCAGGTGTCAGAAGCCAATTTTTATTCTCCGATTTCCATTAGTTAATAAATCATGTCGTAATTGAATTACATTTGTGAGAAACTGTTACTCCAACCCCCTTATAAACAGTAAATAACATTTAAAGAATGCTTGCTAGCTGGGTGTGGATTTATTTATTTTCTACCGTGTTTTCTTTTGCCTTCTGCAGCCATCGGGCTTAAAAGCTGTGAGTGCTTGTTAATCTGCCCCGTCAGGGTAAAGGTCTCCTGCGAGGGTCTCTCCCCGGGTCGTTAAGGAGGTTACAGACGCAGCTCATTAGCAGGAAGCTCCACATCTCCCAGGCTGGCTCCCTTTGAACTTCCTGGAAATGTTTGATCCCTGCAGGCGGTGTGCAGGGATTGGCCTGGGGCTGCTGGGAGTTTCCCCTCTGCCCCTGGAAGTCAGCGTAACCTTGAGCTGAAAGCTATCGTTACTGTTTCCTATGTGATGTTTGCCTTAGCATGTCACATTGCTGACAGGATTTACCAAGGGAGTCAGTTGTTAGGATAATAGTGGTGACTCGCAGTACGTTCACACAGGCATAAGATTAAACTTTAACCTTAACAGAGACCCTCCGCCCCCCATCGCCATGTTGGAGGGGATAATAACTTTCCTGTACAGTGCTTCATTTAGGCAGCATTAGTTTTGGCACATTACAAATGATTCTTAAAAAATTCACAATTTTCCTCAGCCAACTTATCATGATTAACTAAAAGCTGGCTTCCATGCCATGTAGAGAAAGATGCTTCCTGTTTGCCAAAACAAGAGCAACTTGGTAAAGAAATTAGTTTTTGAAAATGGGGAATAAATCATCTTAAAGCAAGTTAAGTGGCGGGATCAGATTCTGTAAAAGCAACATGTTATTCTGTAAAATATCAGTTAGACGTTATTGAAACATTTGTATTTCTTCTGTACACATACTATAATTTCCCCTTTGGAAAAAGCTCTTTAACTATTGTGTTTTTACACAGCAAAAATCTGTTTTGTTCTCACTCATGGTTCTCTTTTGTCTTTATTTGTTGTCTTGCAGTCACAGCGTTGCTGAGGAAGCTGAAGCAGCAATCCAGGGAGACAGTGGAGGACAAGAGGCCCAAGCTGCTCAAAGCCCTGAAAGAAGTGAGTCTGGATGCTGATCAGAGATTCTTACTTTTCATGCCCCTATCATCTTTTTGTAGATAGAGTCTTGTCAGAGTGGTGTTAAAAGTTAAATGAAAGCTCAGGGCTTTTGTGGCTGCTTGGTGTGCCGTCAAATGAACACTTACACACACTGTAAACATTTTACTACCAACCCACAGACCATTTTCTCGTGTCTCTGTGTCTCACTTACATATGCATACTGTAAACATTTAGTCATGTACAGACACCGTTATGTGCTAACCAAGCTACTAGCCTCTGTGTTTTGCTGTTTCTGCCTAACATGAGTTTAGTGAGGCAACTCACTAAACTCATAGGCATAATTATCTGGCTATTTCAGATTCAAGGACAGCTTTAAAGCAATGCCACCCCCACAAAAGCTTCAGGGAGAAAGAGAGCAAGTGTGCAAGAGCAAAAGAGTTCAACTTTTTAAAACCCTGTGTGTTTGAGCTGCATTTAAAGAGAAATTCTAGGTTTCGATGTCTGTACGAGATACTTGACATTCAGCTGTGTGTGACGTATGGGATGAGATCCGTCCTGGATGATGAGGCAGAGATTATATTTGTCTGCGTCATTGTCAGAAATGATGCAGCTCTGGGAAATGATGATCTGCTTTCTGCTTGACATCAGGCCTGAATGCCAGACTGAGACCACCAGTGATGATGATGATGATGAGATCAGTTAATCACATTTCAGTACACCTCGCAGGATAATGGGGATGTATTGAGTTGTATCAGTCAGGCGTGATTTGTTTGGATGGAGATGAAAGCTCATGTTTTCTCAGGTCCATGTACATTGAGCGGCTTTTATACACAATATAGATTTGTAATTTGCAATGATCTTTTGTTTGTTATTTTGAAAATGTGTTGAATTATTTTTCAGTATTTGTTGTATGCACACAACATTCCTTTTGATAGACTAGTTTTACCACTTTTCCACTCATGTAGTTCTACTTGTAATTGAGATGTATTTGTCTTTGTTTGCAGCTTGGAGACTTTTACTTGGAGCTTCACTGGGACTTCCAAAGTTGGGGTGAGTCAATCAAAACCTGCTGTCTAACAGTCGTGGCAGAAAACATCATCCACTCTGGAAGAGAACAATGTGTTACAGACAGAGAAATGTAATGGAGGCTGCCAAGTCTTTCTGGTTAGTGTTTATCTGTGTGGTAAGAGACTCATAGTGACCAGAGGCTACAGGCTGAAAATGCCTCCTCCTGCTGGACATGAGTGGACACACCACCCTCTAATGTCCACATCTTTCCTTTTATTATTATATCCTCAAACCAGAAGCAGAATGTGTTCTCCAGCTGCACTGAATTTACGCACAATCTCACCTGATAAACTGTAACTGGATACAGATGAAATGTGCCATGTGGGCTTAGTCAGCACTGTGAGCAAGGACATCATTCTGTGAGCTCACTGTGTCCTTATTGAATGTCAATTATTGACTAGCAGCGCAGTATTATGTAATACACATGGCTGTAACTAAATGTAAACCTTCTGCACAACACAGTTTGTAAATGTCAAATGTGTAGGCAATACATTATTAAAGAGCTTAAGTCTTCACATGATAGTGTCAGTATTTTGTTTTTTTAAACACCTCTTGAGTTTTGAGCTATGATATACTTTGCTTGCTCTCAGTTACTCTCGTGAGTCTGACATATTTAGCCACAGACATTCACGTTGTACTGCCCTCTAGTTACAGAGCTATATGATACCGAGGCCTTGAGGAGCGCGGTGGTCTGCATTATTGAGCGTGCTTTCTAAATTTAGGCGTAGTTTCACATGTCCTTACTGTATCTCTTCATGTTGCAGTGCCTTTGCTCTCCAGAATCCTGCCTTCAGATGCCTGTAAGATCTACAAGCAGGGCCTCAACATCAGGCAAGTCCTGTCAACTAATGTATATAAGTAAAGTGTTTGATGTTTTGAACCAAGGTAGGGCATCTTACGGCTGCTTCATGACAGCAATATGTTTTGTGATCTGATCGAATACACAAGAAAATTCAGAGGCCTTTTTCAAGTCTCCTTGTCATCTTGTGCTGCACACACCAACCTCTCCTCTCTACCTCCCCGTTTTCTTTTGAACTAGTTTGGCTAACTAGAGTGTGAAATCATTGCCCGCAGTATGAGGAAGCTGAAAGGCGGCACAGATCTTTTACTTCTGTGTTTCAATTTTAAATCAGAGCCTCCTAGGGAGAGAGATACAGTAGCGTTTCACTATTGTTCCGCAGAAATTCCTCACCCTAAGACGCAAGATGACACATGGTCACAACAATGAATATACAGCAGGACCCCTCTTTCCTGTTGTTCATGTTTTTTGCTTTTCATGGCCTTTTGGCAGTTTTGAACTACCAGAAGTTTGTCTCTGACACAGATGCACAGCAGCTTATTTGTGAGACAAACCAGGGCAGCCCTTTATCCAGCACATCCATATTTGGGTATCATAACATACCAAGTAAATCTATTTGAAGAATCAACTTGGCACAGAGTGTGTTTGTGTCTCTGCATGCTGTGTGAGATATCCTCGATGTAGAGCCTGTCATTATTCTGTGGAACTGCTCCTGGCGGTCTCATTTGGTATTCAAAATGCCCTCTCGTTATCCTGGAGGAACAGAGAGTAAAAAAGAGGGAGAGAGTGAAAGAAAAACTGTCACAGCAAGTTCATTTACATTCTGGGGCTTCAGAGTGTCAGGCCTGTCATACCTACACCGCTCCTACCACTGCGTATTTAATGGAGATCAGCTATTCTCTTTGCTGTCCTGCCTCATCCCCGGACTACCCGCTTTGACAAAGTGCAAAAAGAGAGTCTTGAAATGTGTTGTTGGTCGCCCATGGCAATGATTACCACACACATTGTCTCTTAACTCTGAGAGCAAAGGTGTGAAATACATCAGTATTGACTCTGGTGTTTAGTGTCGGCCAAAGTGCAGCTCTTTTCTGTCACCCTCTGTTTCCTTTCCCTGGTTAGGCTGTCTTCTCCTCTAATGTATTTAAAGTTCCCACACTAAACTAAACACACTCTCTGCTGTTTGTGCATACTTGTGTGTGTGTAGATTGGACACTACCCTGATAGACTTCACAGACATGAAGTGTCAGCGTGGGGACCTCAGTTTCATCTTCAACGGCAACGCCATCCCTTCCGAGTCCTTTGTTGTGCTGGACAACGAGCAGAAGGTTTTCCAGCGGATACACCACGAGGTGTGTGAGACATGCTTATACAAGAAGAATGACACTGATGATTATTGTTAATATTGATTTTATCTGACAATCGGTCTGTTTATTTATGGTTTAGTTTACATGTCAGAGAATAGTGAATATATTTTCTCAAAGCAATATTGAAATATCTTGTTTTGACCATTAGCAAAAAAGCAAAATGTGTCCACATTTAAGTAAACTATTTTTCTATATTCCTTATTCACATTCCTCAATTCGTAGTTGCAGATTAATTTCTTTAAATTAACTAATGATTTAATTGTTTTAGCTCTACTGCATTTCCAAATGTGGTGATAAAAGGGAAGCTATAATAAAGAAAAAAAAAGACGCCCAATTTCATGACAAGCATAACTCTTTTCAGTAAATGACTAAATAGCATCGTTGCAACATATTAGGTATTTCATTTTTAATCTGGCCAGTAGTGGTTAAGATATCTTGCTCTTGCTAACAGACATTCAATTGATGCTGCTGTTACATCAGTCAGAGTGTGGATGCCTCTGTGGGTTCCTGACCCTCTGCTGTATTTTCAGGAGTCTGAGATGGAGACGGAGGAGGAAGTGGACATCCTGATGAGCAGCGATGTTTACTCGGCCACTCTCTCCACCAAGTCCATCACCTTCTCCAGGGCGCAGACCGGCTGGCTCTTCAGAGAGGACAAGACGGTCTGTGGGACTCGTTGAAGTTGTATTGTGATGTTCTTATCGTATTATTACTCCCACATCCTCACCCCTCTAAAGTCAGCTGTGGGTCTCAGGGCTCCACCTGGAGGTGGAATTTCTGGAATTGTTATAGGTTTGACGCAGACAGAGAGTTCAAAAGATTTTGATCAATTGTCTGGTTACGGCAGGAAATTGAGGGTACACCGATATACATCAAAGGGTATATTACAGAGGATCTGTAGCACAACATCACATGTAATGTATAATGGTTTCCAGCTGCTTTATTGAAAAGAGCAATGACTGTTGACCAGCATGTCTGACCTTTAAAAACTAAAAGCCAGAACAGTGTGCTGCCTTAAATGAATAGATCCCTGTACTCTCATATTTTAACATTAACTTTACTGTAGAATTACAATGCCATTTTATGTATTTCAGATACATTTGCAATAGTTTGATCTGGACTGAATTAGACTTTTATTTTGGTCCTTTCACCCATTCCTCTCCATCTTTTTGAGCCTATAAATGTGTCCCGATTATGTGTTTTAGCCTGACCTTTCTCTTTCTGTAGACTCTTTCCCTTTTCCTGATCATATTTCCTTCACTACATCTCCCATACAAAACAGGAAAGACAGTAAATAAATCAGCTATAACCCCAGACAGTAACCACAGGTGAAAGACTCATAGTTAACACACAGGGCATGGAGGTGGAAGATGAGTTATGTGGCTAGAACAGATACGCTCCACTGACCCAGAACCGGAGATCTCTTTCTGATGACCTGGATAACCTGTCCTCTTCACACAGCAGGGTAAGGACCAATAGCTACTCCAAAAGTAAAAGGCTAGAGGGAAAGCTAACGACTGGGCCTGAAACTGTGGGTGACTCTGCTGTAAGAGATATAAAAAGTCTGTGTAGTAAGAACAACACCAAAGTACTCCTTTTTCCCAAGAATGTGGTACTGCACATTGGAACAAATGATGTTGTGAATCAAGAGTCAGAAGGGCTGAAAAAAGACTTTGAATGTTTGTTGGAAACTGTCAGCTCTCTAAATGCAGAGGTGTTCATCAGTGGCCCTCTACCGCCAGCCAGAAGAGGAGTGGAGAGATTCAGCAGACTGTTTGCACTGAACACGTGGCTTTCAACTGCCTGTACTGACCATTCTGTCCCTTTTATTGACAACTTTAACTTTTTCTGGGACCGCAGACATCTTTTTAAGGCAAATGGAGTTTGCCTGAACAAGTCAGGAGTGAAATTGTTTATCTCTAACGTATTCAACTGCCTACGTCATCAATCTGTTCCCTCTGCCAAGGAAAAGCAACAAGAGGAATCAAAACAAGAAAAGACACAACACATCGCTCAGAAAACCTTGAAAATCTATCACTGCACCCGCCTGAGGAATGTCTTGATTATGGGAGACAAATGGAGGAGTCTCCACCGCCCTTCACCCCCCCTATCACCTCTGAGGATATTCTTCCTTCACCCCACAGCTCTCTCTACTCTCCGTTCACCCTTTCACCCTCGCCCACCCTCCTGGAGATCACTGAACACACGAAGGAGATACAGAGGGTTGGCACCAATTCCTTCCTGGAGTTCAAAGACCAAACTAAGGCGATACGCAGGGTTGGCAGCATGTCCTTTACCCCCGCTCCTCAACGACGCCCACCAAAATCACCGCAGAGACGCGCACCATCTCCCCCGTCTTCATCACCGTGCCTACGTCGACCACCTCCCCCCAATTGGCAGCATGTCCTTTACCCCCGCCCTTCAACAACGCCCACCAAAATCACCGATGCAGAGCACCTGCGCTACGGTC